AAAAAGGAAGCAGGTTTCCCAGGGACTCTGTGTTTCTCAACACAGCCATGCTTTGCTCAACGACGGGACACGTTCTGAGAAAGGTGTCACTAGCCTACTTGTCTTTGTGCAAACACCATAGCATGTATGCATATGAAGATGGCTACAATATTACCAGGCAATGTAATCTGACGGACCATGTACACTATGGTACCATGTATGTATACTATGGACCACGTATACCACAGTACTATGGTATATCATAGTACCATAGTACTGTGGTATACGTGGTCCACCGCTGACCAAAATGGTGTCATTTGACATATGATTGTATCTCCACCATCAAGCATAGTTCTTATGGTGGGGTGTGGTGGTGCACACCTATAATCCCAGTACTCGAGAGGCTGAAGCAGGAGGATTGCTGCAAGTTTGAGGCCAGCTTGAACTGCATAGTGAAACCCTGTCTCGAAAGAAAAGAAAGAAAGAAAGAAAGAAAGGCTAGTTCTTATTATGTTCTTTAGGAATCATATGTCTTAAAATATTTTACTCACTGAATAAGAATTAGATAACTCAGATAATTTCTCATTTTATATAAATGACCATCAGGGCTTCTAATTCTCACTAAATAAATCGTATTATTAAGACGAATGAATACATTTCCAGCCTCCAAACACTAGTTTTCTTTAGTTGGTCTCTATAGTCATATCACAAGGGCAGAACACAATTTAACATTCCATATGATCTTAGTTACCAAGATCTTAGACGTCCAAGGACCATCCTTAGCGCACCGCCCAATAAGTGTCACTTAAAATAGGTAAGACAAAGCCAGGCAAGGTAGTGCATGCCTGTAATCCCAGCACTGAGGGAGGCAGAAGCGGGAAGATCCCAAGGTCAAGTTCTAGCAGAGCAACTTAACAAGATCTTGTGTCAAAAAAGAAAAAAAAGGACTGGGATGCCAGCTCAGTGGTAGGATACTCCTAGATTTGATCCCCAGTACCAGAAAAAAACACAAGAGAAAGGAAGAAACTAACACCTCTGAAACATACTCACTCTTCTAATTGTCTCTAGGTAATAATTCTTAAATAAAGGCATATATCCCATCTTTAAAATGCTATTTGGGCAGCATATATGCCACCCATTATATCATGGAAAATTCTACCTAAATCCCAGACCAGGTTCTTCACTGCTGTGGGAAAGAGCAAGAGGTAGAAAATTCACTGCTGTTTCAATGCCTGGAAACTGGAATACATGGTCAAAACACTGATAATTTGAATCCTGGCTTGAATGAGCCACATCGAGGAAAAAATAATATAAAAGATGATTCTTCGGTGACTGTTGGCCAGCTTAGCACAGTTTAATCCTAAGGCTACATACTACTTCACTTCTAAACTCACAACTGGAGCGATGCCGGCAAGCAGTGTGTCCAGGAAGCAGGGACTGACTGTGCAATCACAGAACATTTGCCAAGTAACTGGGTCTGTTAGTCACTGCCACTTTAGGGCGACACGCTACCCAAGAAAATGAGGACAGCGGCTAGCATGCAGGACCAAGGGATGCCAAATTCTCAAGGTTTTCTTTTTTTGAGGGGGCGGGGTTTCCGGGACCAGGAATCTAACTCACGACTTTGTGCTTGCCAGGCAGACGCTGTGCCGCTGAGCTAAATCCCCAGCCCCTCAAGGTTTTAACATTTACAAGAAAATTCATCCTCTAAATGTAGGTCTTAGAAATTCCCATTCTTCTAGGAATAGCCTCTAAAGCTAGCTGAATACAGGGGGAATCCAACTCAAGAGCCCTACTAAAACTGGACTGAGAAAACCCCCATTTGCCTCATGCGCATTTCAGCCAGCATGCACCAAGCACCTAAGACTCTACTGCACATATCAGAAAATGCAACGAGACGCAGTACACTCTGCATGAGAAACCGTAATACTCAGGGGGCAGCGGTGGCAAACCTATGGCATGGGTGTCACAGCCCGCTGTTTGTTATCACTGAAAACTTTAAAGGGTTTGCCATCACTGGCCTAAGGGAAAGGCCAGGGCGAAGAGAAAAGTGATGCTGTGTAGAGTTCTGGCTTTGCCACAGAATGGCGACACAACCCTGAGCCCTCATACCTGCTGGTGGGTAAATGGGCTTTACACTGCACCAGCTGCCCTACAGGAATCTGAAAATAAATTCCGATAAAAGAAAATACTATGAAGCTTTTAGAAAATCACACATGTACGATAATATGCAGGATAAAATATAAATCTCATGACACAATTAGAGACTACAAGAAAACAGAATTATATATATAATAATAGACATACAGAATTTCATGAAGTCAATTCACAACTTTAACTCTATGAAATCTTTATAAATGTTCCCCCAAAAAGAGTCCCATGGCTGACCAAGGGTGGAAAATACAAGGTTTAAACAATTTTTCCATTATTCGTTCTAACATTACCAGTAGCTAACACTTAGTACCTGTCACAGTGCTAATCCTTTTGTGAATAATCTCATCTAATCGCACAACAACTTCGAAAGACAGATACTGTCATTATCCCTATTTACAGATGGGAACACCGAGGAGGGAGACATTATATAACTTGCTCAAGGTCACACAACTAGTTGGTAGCAAACGCAGGATTCAAATTCAGAGCCCTATGTTTAATCACAACACACTGTATTTCGACTTTCTTGAAGTTTTAAAAATTCACTGTGAACCTCTCAGGGAGAAAGAGAACGTGTCTTTCCTGAATTTTTTTTTTAATGAACTTGCAGCACTTTGGAAAATGGAATAATAGTGAAAATGTACCTATTTATTTTTCCTAAACGTTCCTTCCTCCTACACTTCAGCCATACATTAGTCTAAGATATGTCTCTCATGATCCATTTAGCACAAGTTAGTAATCCAAGATACACCAATTTAAAATCACCTGGCTAGGTCGCTAGCATAGCACAGCAGCTTAGGAGGGGACAGCACACAATCCACATTACCGTGTGGCCGACTGTCTGGGGCCAAAACTTGATACTGCATAGCTACGGAAAACATCTAGACTCCCATAATGAGAATTCGCCAACTATTAAATAATATACATTGCAATTACACATGACAGCATATGCCTTGCAATGTCCCATTGAGTAGAGTAAGACTGAAATATTAAAGTTTTGCTTTGCACTTATTAGCTTTATTACACTTTATAAGAAAAAAATTAAATAAGCCCGTTAGGCAGTTTTGTTACCAATGAGTGGATTTTCCAATATTTTCTTCATCTAGTTTATGTACCATAGCCTCCAATGTAATCATTTTTGTTTGAAAAACCACAATTTTTATAGTCAACACCATTAAGGTAAACTTAGTGTAGGAGAAACCCAATCATAATACATCAAACAGTGTTTTATGAAGACTTTAGTAAAGCGGATTTTCATTTCTTGATGATTATACCATTTCTTTGTAATGAACTGAAAGCCAGAGATAAACGAACACCACCACAAGCTGAAACCCAGGCAGAAATAAAGCCCAGTGATCGATGACCAGGGAGCTTGCAAGAAGCCAAGGAGAGTACACAGGTTCCTTCGCACTTCCTCTCTAGGAACCTTCAGAACAGGGTAAAAAATTCAAGTCAGAGAAGGGTGAGGAGGAGGAGGAGACCGGGAGGAAGGGCTTCCTGGAAGGGATCACTAGCATGATCCAGGGAGCAGGAACAGTAGCTCAGAGCTTGGACACGTCAGGCCTCCACCACTCACGGAGGAGACCCAAGGACGGCATAAAATATTTCTCTGAATTCTCAAGGTAGAAGGACTTAACTTCCAAGCCAGCTCTTCAAGATACTCAGTCAGGTACAGAGAAAATAAACAATTCCAAATATGTGGACATGAGCTCCTAAAGGGCTACTTTCAGGAGCAAGGACTCACATCCCAGCTGAGCAGCCTGAAGGCCTGGGTGGGTGGCCGTACCGGTTGGCGTTGAAGGAGCTTTTAGCCTCAGGAAACAGAATCCTACGCCACGGCTCCATGGATGGATGAAGGGTGTTCTGGGATTTTAGGGTATGATCCTTCATGGCCATGTGACAGCAGGGCAATTTCTATCTGTATTCATGCGGCAAATCGGGACTTAAAACTCTAAGAACATGAGTAACCAATTAGAAAATAAATTAATTATTTTACAACCCTGAAACAGTAGCTTAATATCGATGTTCAAATAGCTAAGGTAAGAAACACAAGCATAACACGATGCAGGGTTAGCGCACATATGGAAAACAGTTCTCTGAAGGAAAGCTTTATTACTCCCTCAAGGCTTTCTTACAGAGTATGGATTTTTTAATTCCTAGTGGAATATTTTTCATACACCATTGCAGACTATTAAGTACCAGATATTACATTATGTATTTTAAACTTTGTACTACTGCATGAAAGAGACTTCCCTGTTGAGAGAACTATATTTTTTACGGTTAGCATTTTTTAATATGAAAATGAACTCTCCTTTAGGGTAAGATCATTGCAAATAGAATTTGGGAGACTTTTATAACTTAACATATTTATCAATGTGTGCGGAAATTCTCTCAAGGGAGCAGGGTGAGGAGAGAGAGAAATACAACAGGAAGAAGGCTTTTTAATAACTTATAGTGCCAACACAGGGCCGAGCAATGGTATTTATAAGGTTTGGCTTCTACTGGGCATAACTGTCGATGGGCAAGGGACCAGCATAGGATGTTAACATGTTAAAAAAAAAAAAATGGTGTGAAAGAGCAGAGGAAAATACGCATTAAACTTCAGGCCGGTTAAAGGTATACTTGCTAATGGTGGACTATTAACTGCTCACCCATGACAGATGCAGACTTGGAAATATTAAAAAGGCAATATAAATGCGCTTTTCAGGCAATTCCTGAGAAAACAGAAGACACCTTGCAGAGTTCTGGAGTCAAACGCGGAAATAAAATCTGAGCGCTGGTGATCATGTAAAAACCTTTGCCTCAGAGTCTGTGGGTCCCCAGCACTCTGCAAGAGTGGACAGAAAGTTTAAACAAAATTGACTACTCACTTGTAGACGGTGCCGCCGTTGCCATGACCAAGGGTGTCTTGATATCGTATGTCTTGTTCATTCATCTCCACAAGAAAGAAAGAAAAACAGAAAGGGTGTCATGCCGTGGATGGAAATGTCAAGGAAAAGCAACTCAGGGCCATAAACAACAAGCAGTCTGGGTCATTTCAAGTTCAGCTGCAAGAACGAGAAGATCAATACAACATTTGCTGTCCAATTTATAAAAGACGATACCAAGGGACAAAGTGATGGAAAGTTTAATGACAATTTGTTTGCCTGGGTCATTTCATTAAAGTTTGATAAAAGGTGTCAAAATGGAATGATATAACATAGCTCAAAAGGGTCAGGTCAGAGAGACGGATAAGAAAACAGTCTCCGGCACTGCATATAACCAGGACCGAACAGCACTACACATAAGCAAAGTCAAATTTGGAAAGACAACAAACACACACAGACAATAGCCAGGAATCTAATCCATGATCTGTAAATACACCAGCCCCTGGGGATTCCTCAGGTGCCCCTATCATTAACATTTAGCAGATTATCTGAATAATGCTTATCATTTTCCTACAAGAGGACTTTTTCTTTGCAAATGATAAATTATTACACAGCCATATCTGTGTGGAAATCATATTATTCTGATGCAAACGTGTCAGATAAATGCACTTCAAAGTGCACATGTAGTCAGGCATTATCATGCATAAAGGGAAAACTACACAGGTATGTAGTTTTAGTGAAGTAGTTATTTTTATAATTAGCATATAAAACAGCAGGCACATTTTCTAAGATTCTATAAAATCTACTGTACCAAAAATACTACCCTCATTTTTATCACGACTAGATGGTGAATTATGCTAGCACCTGCAAAATAATGTTTTAGAGATTTTTGGGGAACTCCCTAAATAATCATTTATCAAATGACTCTGAGACTAGTCAGACTCTATTTGATGCATTCAGTCATTTTTTATGCACTGGTTCAGTTGCTTAAAAATTAACTGCCAACTTTATTCACTAAATAGATTCAATAAAGGGGTTATTTTCCATATAGCAAAAGCTTGGGAAAAGCCATGGTAAGCCCTAAAAAAAAAAATCGATTTCCAGGGAATTGCACTGCCTTGCATGGTCAGAAAAGGATGGAGTTTTTAATTCAACATCACTTGGAAAAAAATAGTTAGCTCTCAGACCATTATAGTAAAGCTTCAAATATTTGCTCTACTCTAAACTTCTGCCAATTGAATAAAGCCAGGCTTCATTTGTCGAGGGAAATATTGTTCTGCTGTACACTTCTGAAGTTGAAGTTTCAGAGAGCTGTGATAGGGGTACAGCGAAAGTAACAGAAACAGCTTCCTTACTGAGCTGTTCTGCCGATCCCTAAAAGAGAATCAACAGATTAATGTGAAAAGACCAATTCCACACCCAATTTAACTGTAGTACAACTCGACTGAGGCAATTTACAATCAGCTAATTACTATATTTAAGGTCAGTGAAAAAATGAGTCAGAAAAACTGGCAATTAATTTCCTATTTGAGGAAAATTCTGTTCTTCACTATTTTTATACCACTAACACAGAACAATAAATAAACTTTTAACCTGTATAACAGACATGGCATGAAGAAGGCCAACGCTTCAAACGACTGGAGCTGCTACACTAGCAGGGTTGTCAGTTTGCTTTGATCAATGAAGGATATGTGAAGAGTTCTATCTGTTGGCAGGTACAGAGAGTCAACTAGGCCAATTCCCCAAGAAGAGTTCTTTAAGTAAGGCAAACATGCCTCCGATGGCCTAATTTGTACCATTCACTTGCCTAACTAGCTGCACTCTTGCTGTGGCTTGACGTAGATTTCTAGGAGAGAAATTTCACTTGGTCAAGCCCACAAATTCTGACTTAGTGGCACTGAGATGCCAGGCTGAGTAGCATGCAGGCACACAGAACACAGACTCCAGGCTCTGGAAGGGCCAGTTCATGGTCATGTCCTCCCCACCACTCCACAGGCCTGGGGATGGCTATGGATGTGGGTGCACTGGGACCCAGTATAATCCAGGAGGGCAGGTGTCCAACATCATCGGGGGACGGGGTGAGGAGCAGAAGCAGTGGAGGGTTGGGTGGGGACAGATGTCTGCCGCATGAGTAAGTGTAAGTGCTAAGCACTGTAGAAGCAAATTCAAGAACAGAAAAAAACAAGGCAGAAATATGGAATCCAATACATAATAAGGAAGACTGCAAGAGTCACCTAAAGATAAAAGTGGTTTTGAAGAGAAAGTTCTAGAAACATGTCACTTGAAGAGACACTATCCATTAAAAAAATGATTACAGTGTTTCTACATTATAAAATATTACCTTCTTTTCCTTTTTAGTTTATCTTAATTTTCTAATTTTTATACAGTACATATATATTTCTCATGTTTGAAAGAAAGTGTTTGATGGGGTCTATCTAGCTGTGATTTCTAGGCTGCTCTTAAACTTCTGGGCTCAAGTGATCCCCCTGCCTCAGCCTTCCAAGTGCTAGGTCTACGGGCATTCACTACCACACCTGTTGCAAAAAGTATTTTTTAAAGGAAAATTAAGAGCTCAGGAATTGATTACCAAAGAAACGTCTGAAACATGCATATTTGGTCAAAATGGGCTATTTTAATTGATTTTAGCTATAAAAAAATCACTAAAGGAATTAACAAACAGCTATTAACATTTTTGCCTTTTCTAGTTGATGAGCAGGAAGGCCGGGCGTGGTGGCGCATGCCTGTAATCCTAGCACTCGGGAGGCTGAGGCAGGAGGATCCTTGTGAGTTCGAGACCAGCCTGGGCTACAAAGTGAGCTCAAGGCCAGCCTGAACTGCATAGGGAGACCCTGTCTCAAAAAGATAGACAGACAGATAGATAGATAATAATTTAATAAACCCTGTCTACGGCCATACCACCCTGAACGCACCCGATCTTGTCTATCTCAGAAGCTAAGCTGGGTCGGGCCTGGTTAGTACTTGGATGGGAGAGCATGAACACACAGGAACTGTGCTTATTATGAAATGGGGGGGCTTTATAAGCCTACAAAGTACTGCATTTAAATATTACAGGTGGGATCAAGTATCAAAAAACTGTCACCTTTCAGCCTTTTATGACCACTAGCCTACCTAGTTAGGTTTTGTAACTAATCATAACAACTAGTCATGAGTAAGCACTCTGCCAGGCATGATGGACCACTCCTGTAACCCCAGTACTCAGGAGGCTGAAGCAGGACAGCCACGAGTTAGAGGCCAGCCTGGGCTACATAGCGAGTTCAAAGTCAGCCTGAACTATGCAGCAAGACCTTGTCTCAAAAACACAAAACCAAACAAAACAAGAAGACTAGGACTCAGTCCTCTGACACAGCCCACTTCAAGGTGCCCTATCACTCCTCTGTACCCACAGCCACAGCCCCCAGGCAGGCGGCCCCGCTCACGGAAGGCACTCACAAGTAAAAGACCCTTTCCCATTGCGATGATGTTTGCTTTTAAGGAGACAAGGGTTTAAAAAAACTACACAGCTTTTTATACTGAAAAGAGGTGAAGTAAAGTTTTATTCATTAAAGATGCCAAAGAGTTTCTAAATGTCGTTCAGCTTTCTTGCATTAACCAAAAAAAAAAAAAAAAAAAAGCAAACAAGTAGCAGGATAGTACATGTGAGGGAGAAGGAAGAGAAAGCCGTGACTGTTACAGTCGCTATCTGTCAGCTGCCAACACGGTAAATGACCTGGAGAAATGACTTGTGGGGCGTCTGCTTCTACTGGAGGAGGGGCGGGACCAAGACAGAAACGGAGACAGCAGCCACCCCCAGGCAGGGAGGCTGCGTGGGGTGGAAGAGGGCACTGTGTAGTTCTGCGTTACGCACACAGCCTCACGTGCGTTTCAGTCACCTTGTGGGATCCAAAGCAAACCACTAAAATCTAAGAATATTATACATTGGTGATGATTTGGTTTTTAAATCTGATTTTACAGCAGAAGTCTACAATGGTACCTCAGTTCATGAACCTGATTCTTTCCTCGATCCTGGTTGCTAACCAAGTTGGATGAGAACTGAATCAAATATAATGGTTAGGCTCAAAGTTGACCTTATGGGGAAATTTGATTCGGTTTTTGTCCAGTTAGGTTTGCGAACAGAATCTCGAGAGAACTGAGTTCATGGACTGAGGCACCAGTGTACTTCCTCTTCCTCACCCCTTTTGATCTGAATTCAAAGAGTTTTTCCAAAGGTATTTCAACTTTTCTAAATAACAGCCAAAGATGCAGCAGGACCAGAACTAGTTCTAGATCTGTGACTTCACAGTATGTTTACACTTGACTCATCAGGAATAGGAAAATACTGTCATCTTCTACTATAAAACATAAAAGACAGAAAGAGGACAAACACCTTTAAAGACACAAACGTCAATGTTACACATCCGTAGAGTAACTGCGTACTTTTTAAATCCTTTAAACTGACCCTTTGGGATATTTCTAACCAGTTTCAAACCCAGGGCCGGTGTTAAACAGATAATGCCACACTGGACCCAAGTGGGGAAAACACAGCCAGCGAACGGGGCAGTGAGACTGGTTTACAGCTCTCAATAAAACACGCCAAAAATATCTGCAGATGTATTTTTTTTAAGCTGGAGAAATGGAACCCTCTCTCACAAGGTGATACCAGGAAAACAAAGTCTCCATTCCAAATGCTACATGTTAAACTTTTAAAACAGTGCCTGATCGAACGTATTAATGAGATTAATGGGAAAAATAAAATGGAATTCAATTATGGATCAGGAAAGAAAACATTCTTTATTATCTGCCGGTGTTAAGAAAATCAGTACCTATCGTTGATAAATCATTAGAATAAAAATGCTCAATTAGCCCTTATTTTATACGGAAGGGTCTGATAGAAACTAGTGCTATCCCAGACCTTTGCTTCACAGATCGAAGCAATAATGGTTTCAGAAAGCAGTCACACTCTATGAGCAGACAATTGGAGAGATTTAGTAAATCCCACTTTATAGAGCAGAGACTAATCGGAAAACACAAGCCAGTCAAATGTTTCTTATGAACTGTTGACACTATATCAATGCTGAATCAATTGGTGGCATTTACTCTGAGTGACAGAAAAGAAATAAATATTTATATCACATAACCTATATCAATGAACCCAGGCAGAAAGCTATTTCTAACCTGTCAATATTTGATTATCTTGAAGAATCATGTCCCTTTCTTTTAATGATTAATATGAATTCCTTATTAAATCTAAGTGGAGGCTAGTGGAAAGGCAAATCATTATTAATGCTTGAGAGCATAAACCGCTAAAATAAAAAACTATGCTCAAGTGTTAAAGTATCGTTAAATGTGACTTACATCTTCCATACCCAATGGCGTCAGCGTGCAGCCCGGGAATATATCAACGCCCACACCACACACATTACCTCACCACGGTGTGGTCCCACCACTGTTTAGTTACTCTACAGCTTCAGCTGAGGAATTTGTAGAAGGAGGTATTTTGAAAGCTTCCAAAGATGGGGGTTTTCTGTTTAGTTTTTTGAGCAAAAGTAAACAGTAATAATAATAATAGCAAAAAGCTTATCCTTAAAAGAGAAAATGCCATACTGTCCAATGTCGGGTTAGCACACTCCCAAGGGAAAGCAATAAACAATCTTTAAGTGTCAAAAATCATTGCCATGACAATCTCCTACCACAGAGAACCTCGTAACTGAGACCACTGAGATATTTACGGTACCGGGTTTGTTGTCAAAACATTTCAGAATGCTTTTTTTTTTTTTTTTTTTGGCAGTGGAAAGAAAATGTTTTTCATTTTTGAAAGAGGAATCTATGACAGGTTATTTTCCATTGCCTGGGTTGAACAAATGTAGTTAAAGCTTCTTAATTTATGTCAATTTTGAAATATATTTTCCAGCCAAAGAACACAACTGACTTGTACATAAATTACAATTAGTAACTAGAATGCAAGTGTGTCGAAGATACATAAATATCCTCAGCTTGCTTTCTCTGCTTTTAGTCAGATTTTACTTTACACTGCTTGTGCTCACGGTGCAGACACTGGGGGATGCGGATGTGGACCTCAATCTCAACAGACATCTGGCTGCTTAAAGATAACTGTATTAGGTAAAAACTATGAAGAATGTGGGGGCTGTGGCTGTGGCTCAGTGGTAAAGCTCATGCCTAGAATGCATGAGATCCTGCGTTCAATCCCCAGCACAACCATCAATAAATAACAGACCTAAATTTTGAGACTACCAAGATTATACACCTAACACCAGATTCTCTCAGCTGTATGCAGAATAGTTAAGGACTAGAATTCACACACACTGAATGACGATCAGCTGTCAGAACCAGATCGACTTCATTTTTTCTAACTGGATTCAAAGGACTGTGTGCTAAGTAAGCAGGCTTCCAGAAGCGTGACCACACAGTCGTGGTTTCAAGGCACGCACATCTATTAGGCCACAATGTTACAGGTGATATTAAAGGACAAGCATGAGGACCCAGCTTTGTCTTCTTGACATGCTCCGCTACAAGTACTTGATTCATGAAATGCCAATGAGGCTTGGAGAGGTCAGCGTGTGAAGGCACTGAATAAGCATCTGAGATAATTAAGATTTCAGCCTTCGAAACATGGACGGGAAGTGAACAGCAGTTAAGAAAATCAATAAGAGTCTTTTATTTGCAGTGACACAGATGTCTCAGTCAATAGAGCCTAATAGGCAGGCTTGATCGCCATGGACAGGCGCCTGCCTCCAAGGCTATCAAAGGGCTTCCACTATAACAAACACTAAAACGCACTTACGTTGCTAGTGAAGAATTGAGGACCCTGTAGGTAGCTTAATTTACCAGTGTATGTTTAAAAGCACTACACTATTTCAGATGTGGCCATTTACTTGAATCAAAATTAGTGAGAAATAACTGGCCTGCAGGCCTGTTCGTCCCTCACTGGCCGAGTTAGGTCATTTGGTTTTAGACAGCCTGTCGACCAGGCAAACCAAGGCCTCCAGGACCCCAGAGATTTTATGTGTCAAAGGTCTGCGGTTCCCCCGGTCCCCAACAAAGCCAGTGTTAGTTTCAGGACAAAAGATGGAACTAAGGTAAGAAGGTAACAGTTTTTCCTTTTCTCCCCAAAGATAATGAAAGAAACAGTCGCCTCAGAATGCAGGGCCATTTCAACAGCCCATGGGTTGACACACTTGTTCAGAACTGATTAACTTTTTAGACAGAGACGGCAGCGGGGTGTGTGCATGGTCCTTCAATCTGCTGGGAGTGAAAGCCATTAGCACAGTTTGAAAAACAGGCTGCAAATTGTCCTGCCAATCAAATTAAGCCATGTTACTCATTTATGACAAGAAGAAATTCACAGATTCTTTATTGTTTAATACGTTTATGGATTAAAAACTGGATAATAGTAAGATATTATTATTTGAAAATCTTAATAGGTAATAATACCTACCTGGCCATTGGCTAATATTTTTTTCAGTTCAGCAGAGGACTTCTTTAAGCTGAAAAGGAAAGATGTAATTTTTAGTAGCAGCAAGATCACAAACACCTCTGAACACCACAATAAAATATACCTTTGCTTTTAGATATAGGCATGGACTACACTCCTCTCTGCAGAAGATATTTTTCCAGAGTAACTGACTGAACACCAAAGGTATCAATGAAGTGACTGAAACTCCATTAGTATTCTACAGTAATAAAGAAGCCTACAGTCAAGAGGAAGCTACGGTATTTTATGGACCACTGTGACATTTTATGGACCAAGTGACATGTTGGCCATTAGTTCTGCAGTCTTTGGGCAGCCTTTCAGCGGCAACTCTATGTAGACACTATCATCTGCTAAACAAAGTATTTAACAATGCACTCTCAGGATGTTCACAGCAAACAAAAATAAGAGAACTTCAAAGATAAAACAGATGGCTTAAGTCCTGGTATTTTACTACAATTAAAAGTTACAATTCAACTTTCTGGGAAGTACATGGATTGTAGAAATAAATACTGGCTCTCAACAGCTGTGTGATCTAGGACAAGTTACTTTTCCTCTCAGAATTTCACTTTCATCTTTTTATAAAATGGGGAGAAAATTAACTTTACAGGGTAACCAGGAAAATTAAATATTACAAACCAGCACTGTGTCTTATAGGTATGAGACTCAGTGCTCGGTGCTACTAGGGACACAAAAATGTTCTCTGAGCATGTGGCTCTTAAGTGTCCCCTTAAAGCCCAGTGTTAAAGGCTTGGTGACCCAGACTGGCATTACTAGGAAGTGGTGGGGATTTTAAGAGTCAGGGCCAGGTGGGAGATTTTGGTCACAGGGGGGATGCCTTCAGTTGGGATTATAGGACACTGGTCTCTCTTTCTGCTTCCCTGCCACACGAGGTGAACATCTTCCTCTATCACATGCTCGTACCACCACAGGATACCCAGCCATATGAGCCAAGCACAATGGAGCCAACTGACCATGGACTGAAACCTCCACAACTGTAAGCCAACACAAGCCTTCTCAGGTGTTTGCTTCAGTGACTGAAAGCTAATGTACTATAGCAGCACGGGGTATGAAAGAGCACCTGCCCCCACTGATGTTCTAGTTGACGTGTAAAGCTTGTTAACTTTTTTCTTAACCTATCTACTCTAACCTTCTACCTATCTACCACATTAAGTCTCTCCCTTGTGTTCGTTACTTATGTAAATGTCTTTCTCTCTACCCTGTCTTCCCCCAAGACTGAAGACAGACTACATCTCATTCTATATATTCCCTTTTTTCTCATTCTATATATTCCTATTCCATTCCCTCTCACCCTTAAATCTTGCCAGTGACTCAGCATGCACTGAGTGTTCAATGTAAGTGTGATTTTAAAATATAGTGAATGTTTAAATTTATTACAGTAAAAGACCCACTGCTATTACTCTTCCTCAAAATACTCCTCCTCTCTTCCAACACACTTACCCCATCATTCTTGCCACTTTCTGAATCAGTTTACACTTTACATTTGTGGCAATTTCTGTCAAAAAAATATTACAGTGTGCCCTCATCCACTGTACTCTGGCACCATGCAACTTCTGGCTCTTCCCCAAATGACCACAAAAGGTAAACACTCGGAGGTGATTCAAGACATCAAGGCAGCCACGACAGCACAACTACAGAAACTCAGGAAAGGATTTTCAGAACTGCTTCAGACACCGGTAGGAACGATGGGATTAGTGTATTTGGTGAAAGGAGGGAATAATGGCAATACATCTTTTCCTGTACGAAATTTTGCAAATTAAATATTCACTTTCTTTTTTGATCACACCATTAAATGATCACTGGTCCGACTGTTATTATGTTGTAGCAGTTGGCATAGTAACATAATAAGACATAAAGATCATGAACACCTCAGAAAGAAAAAGGTCTCAGGACCTCATATGCATTCCATTTGGCACCTCTAATATACTCAGACTTCTCAAACTCTGAGACTATGCATTCATTTCAAGTTATAATTACTCTTCTTTCTAAACACGTCTTAAACTTCTGCATAATCTAGTCCAAACAGACTATGGAGGCTCAATTTCTACTTTAGGTCTTATAAGACATGACCTCACCTAAGGGTGAGAGACTTTAATAAATTATGGCCACTCAAGTCTAAGACTCTATGCACTAGACTGGCAGTTAAGAGTGCTGTAGAATGGGACCAAAGTGGAAACATACACCGAAAGACCAACAATGCCTAAGATCAGTCCACTTAACAAAATGATAACTACTATTTATTGAGTGATGACAAGTGCTAAGTATTGTGCTAAATTCTATTACTTATTACCCAAATTTAATCCTCACAGTAACTACACTCCTTAGATGTAGTTATTGTGTCTACTTTATATAGAGACAACTAACACAGAGATCTTGCCTAAAGTCTATCTCTTACATAAACACACACCTCTCTTTTCTGGGAAATAGTTAAATCCTAGTGTAGGGAGTCTTTTCTGGACCTCTTCGCAGTCTATACGTGACTCCCAATTTGATAGTTCCAATTGCTGTAAAGGTACAACCAAACAAAGCCTGGCCATTGTTTCTCCAGATATTCCATTGTGTCATACACCTAAAATAGTAACATTTTGATTCAATGCATTTACAAACGCCTTCCATCCAAGAAACAAAACATGATTCCTTAACACAGCTTCATCAATCTCACTAACACCAGAGGTAGACAGATGGAAAGTTCAATCATCCCAGTTTTACAGGAGAAAGTGAAGCTGTGTAGGAAAGGACCCGCCTTGGCTATGGGACATGAGTTCGGTAATGATGGCCTAGGAACACCATATACATTAGTAAGCTCAGTTTAATAAACAGTCATTCACCCAAGGCAAAGAGAGGACCAATTCATGCTCTGAAAGTAACAGAAGAAAACTGATTTCATTCATCATGCCAATATGTGGTTGCCACCTTAATCGGATTTAAAAAAAAATTTTGTGGGGCTGGTGGTATGGCTCAGTGGTAAGTGACTGCACGGTCAGTTAGCCATGTGTGAGGAGGCCCTGGGTTCAATCCCTACCACCAAAAAACAAAACAAAGCAAAAAAAAAAAAAAAATTAGATAAACCCACCTTTTTTTTTTTTTGGTTTTTCTCCGGTACCGGGAACCGAACTCACGACCTTGCACTTGCCAGGCAGGCACTTTGCCACTGAGCTAAATCCCCAGCCCCAAACCCATCATTTTGTAACCTAGAAATTTCTTTGTGGCTCAGGTTATTCAACATTTCATTTATCTATATGGTCACAGTGACCTGAGCTATCAAAAAATCACTTCTGAAAACATTTTAAAATTTAAATGTCATATAACTATCACCTGGGTGTGACACATAGAGAAGCATGGAGACATCAGAAGAATAAAAAATAAATAAAAAGGACCCAGAAATGACATCAGAAAAGCTGATCAAGTTGAGACAAGTCAATCCAGAGATGAGATTTAAAGGGAATGGAAATACAATACATACTCATTCATTCCTTTAACTACCTCCTTTGTGCCAGGCATGGTGGCCAAGAACTGAGTCTCTGACAGCGAATATGCTGTCATCACCGCCCTCAAGGAGCACAGAAGCTACTGGGGAGGACAGCAGCTTCTAGAGGTGATTATCTACAGTGTGCTCGCTGCTACTCTAGATGGAGCATGGGGCGCAGTTACAGGAATCACAGACGGACTTCCCGGCGTAGGTGACGAGCGGCTGGTAACTGAGGACAGCTTTTAAAAGAAGTTACCACAATCCACAAAGATGACCGAGATGAGGCCGACCGAAGGTGAAGGTGGGATGAGAGAAGGAGGCAGACAGGAAGGAGTGGCAGCAGACGCGCAGGCCCAGTGGCGAGAGGACCCGGCCCACGCAGGGCCCTGGTGTGCGTGAGCCAGGCTGGAGTGGACAGAGCACCCAGTGTGAGAGGCCGCAGCTCGCCACCTGCGGGGTTTCCCCGCACTATGGGGAGTGAAGAGCAGGGACGGGCTTTAACAGAGGATGATAGCTCCACCAGGTGTTACTGCATGGCTTGGACTTGACTTGTCCCCCACAGGTCTGTGCAAGGAGGTGAACCTTGCCAGGGGAAGGTCCTTGGGCCCACTGGGGCTGTGCCCTAAAAAGGACTGGCCACTCACTCCTGCACGGGCTCCCACCACTGCACCCTGTCAGAAGACGACAGAGCCCGGGGGGCCACTAGAGCCTGTGTGGCATCATCTGGACTTTCAGCCTCCAAAACCGCGAGCTAAGAAGTCCTCTCAACGCATAAAGTCAGCTGCCTCTGGATTTAATTACAGTAAGGAAAAACTGATGAATACACTTGTTGGATCACTCCAGTGGCCGTGTGGAGGAGGGGCTCGAATGGGGCAAGGATGGAGGAAGGGTGCTACCAGGCGGCGGTGGCCATGACCGGCACAGCCTGGACAGCTGTGGAACAACAGGGTGCTGGCGCATGGGTGGACTCAGGGCCCCTCGGAAAGCACACGACGTCAGGGAGAAGTGAAAGGCATCAGGCAGGTTTCCTGTAACAGATGTCGTGTGTGTGGGGTGGAGTGGGGTGCTAAGGAAGGGAGGTCCGAGAAATGTGCTTGGTGAGAAGACGATGGGAAGAGCCACGATCTGCAGGAGGAGACCGGCACCTTCTGAGGACTAAGCAAGTCCCAAACCTTTACAAGTGGGCACTAAAGGGAGAGAATTCTCAGCTTGCAAAGAGGACCTTTTAAGATGTAGTGGAACGAAAACGGGGGCTGCATTGGCCGATAAAGTGCCTCCTGCCCCGGGGCTGTGCAGAAAGGCCTGGTGCCTGTCTGGCAAGGAATGGGGCACCCAGCATCAAAGGCCGCAGGGTTGGGGGTGCTTCTCCTACTCCTCTGCCTTGTCGTGCTGCTGCCAAGCCCTCTCCTGGGCTCCCTAGTGCAGGAGGGGAAAGGCCAGCCGTCCTGTCTACATCCCATCTCCTGTCCTAGTGCGGCGGCTCTCTCTGCCCAATCGGCTCCTTACACGCACGCCGGGCTCCTTCCCCACTGCAGGGCCCTATCTTATGCTCGTCCCTCAGGTCTAGATGGAAACATCACTCTCCCCAGGGACCCCACTCTGAGCACCCAGTCTAAATCAAAGCACATTCCTGTCTAGGGTCATCCCCTGGCATCTGGCCTGTCCCCTTCACCAGACTAACCACAAAGTGTAACTGTCTTGTACTCTTTGTTCTGCCTGTCCACCCACTGGATGGCGAACTTCAGGGGTAACTGCCACGCTGGCTTCCCAGAGCACAGGATGGCACCTAGCGAGTCAGAGGTACTCAGTACCTGTTGATTAGTCACCAACCTGGAGCAAAGAGCACGGCCAACCTAAGGTGGCATATTAGAATCAGCTCTTGGTCTTTTTCAAATAACATTCCTCCTGTAACAGGAAACACTACTACAGCAAACCATCATTACAATTTGGGAGGCCATCACACACCTAAATGAAGATACCACAAACAGCTAAGAACCATTAGAGTATCAGATGCTCTCTGAACTTCTATGCAGTGCAATGATCTCGTAACAACATGAACGCACATGGTAATTTTTAAATATCCACACTAATTCTCACCTGTTGTTACAATGAATGTGGGAGACCTAAAAAGTTACCCTGCCTCTCCGTCTTACCGTCTTTTCAATTCCACTGTGCTTTTTATATCATGATGACATTTGATCTAAAACATTTTATCTTCCTCGGGCTCGAGGTCAGTCTTGTATGGACAATGCCTCTTCTGAACTGCGCTGCTTTCCTAGAGCTGGGTGCCTCTGGCCCGCCTACTCTGCAGGGCCTGGCTCACGTGCCACCAGCAGAGACAAGCTGCGAGGCCCTGCTGCGGAGAACTAAGCCCTGCCCACCCCAGCGCGGGCAGATGACCCACGGTGAGTAACAAGGCTGACGGCTGAGCAGGGATGAACTGTGTGAGCCGTGCTTCAGAGCTGGTAGTAGATACCCTGCCGCACAACAGAGCAGTCAGGGAAGTGACTCCGGTGGGAGGGACGGGAAGTAAAGGGACTCGGAGGAGAGACTTTAAATTACTGCAGTGAAGCCCCCGGGACACAGAGCCCGGAGTGTGGGTGATGGGGAGGGAGAGGCAGCAAAGGGGAAGCAGAAACATGAACTGCATCTGGGCCGGAAGAGGCGGCTCTGAAGCCCTGAGCCCAGGCGAACCTCAATGCGGACGCGAAGCGGCTCGGCTCGGTGCTGGCTTTTCAGTCACCGGTGTGAATCCACTTCTACACGCTGGCTGGTCATCCCACAGGCCGCTTCCCCCCAGCTCCGACTTTGCACGTGACTGTGTCAGGCCACAGCCCCCTGGCTGGCTCTCACCTATTGCTTGGAAGTGAATCCAAGACTGCCGGGCTGGTGTGCTGCGAGGGTCCGGCCCGGGTATTCACCTAGAAGTAAAGAAAGAATCTTGATCAGTCCTGTGTTCTGAGGACACGGTTCTAATTAACCTATAATTTGCCATACATTTCTCATTTCGCTATGAAGGTTAATTAGCTTGTTGCTAGACAGACCCACGGTTGGAGTCTATTCGGTATATAGGTTACAGAACTGTACAATCCGTATATTATATAATCCTCTATCCCTGTCATTATTCAAATACTAAGGCAGTCCTAAAAAGGGAGAGAAAGAGAGTGAAAGTGGAACTCACTATCTAGAGCACAGATTCAGAAAATATGCTCAAAAATCTACACTGAGAATACATCCAGGGTATAGCAGTGAACTTCAGGGTATCGTATCTTCCCAGCTCTACAACCAAATGGAACACTACAGACTGCTTCTCACTCCCTAAAAACTGAGGTCTCAGTGATTCACCGTAAAATATTTGAGCCTAATAAAATAGCCAGCTTTTCTTCAGATGTAAAGCTTTAAGCAGAAATCCAAACTTCAAAATACACAGAACAATGAAAAGACATTAACTAGATATATGTTTCTAGCATAAATATGTCAAAAGAAGAGGGGGGATATTCTGTGTGCAATACGCTTATACGATTAATTAATCACTGAAATGATGACTATAATCTCACTCATATAAATCTTTCAGGAAACTAGTTATCTAAGTCCATCCCAAAGAAACTGACCAACCCAACAATTCCAAATAATTAAAAGTACAACACCAAAGCCCAGTATACAAATTCACACACATACTGGGCAAATTCTACAGACGAATCCCCCTCCACCTCCCATTTAAAAAAAAATAAAAAAAGATCGCTTGTCAGAGCTTGAGAAAGTGCAGTTTTATTTGACATTTCAATAAGTGGAACACAGCATTACAAATCCATCTAACTTTACTGAAACAATTATTGAAATTCGTACCTTCAGGCCATGTATGTTCCGTTCCCCAGGAGGCTTGCAGGCTGAAACAGTAATTGACTAAATTGTAGAACACATCAGGGCCATTTACAAATTTGCTCAAAATGAATCGTTTAAAAAGAAATGAGGGTGACACCAAAATTAGCAGAGAGAAATGATTGAAAAGTGGCTCCCCAGACCCGAAGTGGGAATTATGAACCAGGGTTTTAACTTGCAGGAGTGAGCATTTATAAATGCAAAGAGCTTTCTGACACCACTTCATATAAATTCCAATTTCTGCTTAAAACATAAAAATCAAGTTAACTGAGCTAAAATGATTAGATTCCTTTCATAATTCAAATTTCTGCAATCTTTCCTCAGTCTATTACATTATATCTGCTACCAGTTAAACTACTTTGAGAAGAGCTAAGATTTTCGGGGTTTTGTTTGTTTTGGAGGAGAAATAGAAAAAAGATCTTTTAATGCCAAAAGGATTGCCAGAGTCCCTACAATGGGATCCTCGAGTTCGAATACTATTTCGTATAGCCATAAACAACTATTATCAAAATACACATACAGAACTAATTTCATTACACTTATTTCAAATCTTGACATCTGTTACCATTTAAATCTAAAGAAAATGTAGGGCCAGGAAATATAACATGAATTATTTCATTCCTGAGTTACAGGTTAGTACTTTTCCAATTCAGCAGATGCTTCTGCATCAAATGTTAAAAATACGAAAGCTTCCAGCCCATGTTATAGACCACTTCCCCTTGAAAACTACAATGCCCTACAAATTGTATGTTAAGGGGCTGTCAGTTTTGATTGATTGTTTAGGGGAGGATGAATTTGATTTTTTTTTATCCCTTGGATGTACATGTATTTTTTCTCTGCTTCTGACATAAAATAGAGCTGCTTAATAAGATGTGAGTAATAATTACAAAGCATGAATTGCTTTTATTCTGTGTATTTCAAGTAAATTCAAATTTGTTCTTACTTTCCTAGAAAATGTAAAACTTTTAGAAAATGTTAAGATTTAGAAAATCTAAATCTTAATAAAGGGCTTTTACTTATCTTTCTAAAATACATTAAAATTAAGGCTCCAAATCTTTCCTTAACATGGAAATTAATTTTATTTTTTCTTGGCCCAATACTGGCAACTAAACCTAGCATTTCACTTGAGGCTAGCGCTCTACCACTTACACCTCCAGCCCTTTAAATTTATTGAACTGTGGTCTTCCTGCCTCCGTCTTGTAAGTAGCTAAGATTATAGGTATGTGCCTATGGTGGGTTAATTTTTGCTACCTCTCTGCATCTATCATATGGAGATAAGAGAGATATGAAAGGTACACAATTTGAATAATTGGGCAGAATTACCCGGATCTACCTGTGGTTAGAGGCCTTCAAACCTTAGATTCTGTGTCAGGCCCCGTGTTGAAAAGAATCGTTAGACTGAACAAGTCCAATGCAAAGGAGATGATGACTCTGCTCTAGTGACATGTTTTCCACCCAGTGGAGATTAACTTTTTGAGCAAACCAGTCACATATATTTAGTGCATGATCCTTGAGGGACCCAGTACTTCCAAGACAACATCTTAAAATATTTCCAGCGAAGTATCCAGGGCACTCAAGGAATGTACAGACAGGCATAAACTCTTATCTTTAATTTAAACATCTGCTTTGCTTCTCAAGTCTTTAAACTGGAATTTAAAAATGCATTCCAGAAAGCCCAGGAACCTCATATATTCTAAACTTATGAGCCAGAAGTTACTATAAGGCTACTGAATTTTCATATTTCTCAATATTTAACACATCTTTTAACTACAGAAGACTTAGCTATGAGCGGACTGTGTCATGCAACTGTGCTGCTCAGAAGGGGGAAAACATGTCACTAGAACAGAATCATCACCTCCTTTGCATCGGACTTGTTCAGTCTAATGATTCTTTTTAACACAGGGCCTGACACAGAATCTAAGGTTTGAAGGCCTGTAACCATAGGTAGATCAGGTAATTCCGCCCAATGTGTCTCTATTCAAATTGTGCACCTTTCATATCTCTCTTATCTCCATATGATAGATGTAGAAAGGTAGCAAAAGCAGAAGATGGCAAAAACCAAAGGGAGTTGAGTCACAGCACACAGAACCCCACTGGGATAGGGAGACGGGGTTTCAAGCTACTCTCATGCACGCTGCAGTGGTATTTTAACTTCCATGTCTTTCCACTTTCAGCAAATTATAATTTAAGTAAAATTCTTACTCAGAGGGTGTATCAATCGCTTATATGCTGTGTGACCCTGAAGTGATTTAACCTCTGTGAACCTCAAAAGTCTCATCCACACAGCCGAGGGAATAATACCTAGTGCAACCGAGGCAGTGCTGTTGGGAGGGAAAGATAACGGCGCGTGGACAGTATCGGTGCCTCTGCAGCGCCACGTCTAAAACTGGGCCTTGCTACCGCGGGAGGGAGCATAGCGGTACACGGTGACACTGACAGGGCTGATCCCAAAAGGAAAGAAGACAACCTGAACTTGAGAAGATTTCAGGAAAAGAGAGGTAGGTATTTTACTATAAAGGAAAATGAAGCCCTGTGGTACTGGAACAGTAACTCTCCAGGATGCTGTAGCTGGATTTGCTACCCAGAGCTGGGAAGCAATTAATGGAAATTTTTAGCTTGTAAAAAACTATTCCTTGTGGAGAAATGATTTTTGAAATTTGCTCGAATTTCTCATTTACCGAAAACATTAAGAAAACATCTGCATCCTTGTTAGTGTCTAATACACAGAAATGGGGACACTTCCTCTCTCGCGCTCACTCTTTTTCCCTGTTTTGATGTTTATTTTTCCAGTCCAACAGAATTGGACTAATCCTAATCCTTAGTTTGGGTGATAACTGGCCTTCAGTGAAGCAATTTTATTCAGTTCCTCAGCATTTTAATAGGTTATTAATAACCTGGTGAGCGCTCCTCAACCTGCCACTTACAGGGAACAGCAGGACTGCTCTTGAACCCGGAGCTGCTCTTGGGCTGGCCGGGCCAGCTGTCTTTGGAGACTCCGTCACGGCAGACAGGAGCCTACTGGTTAATTGAGCCATTCAAACTTCAGAGAGTTACAGGTAATGAAAGTCTAGAATGTTTAATTGGAAAACTCATACTGTGATTATTTGTACAGTATTAGTTAACGAAGGTAAGTTTAACTTTTAATTATTCCAATTAAGTTATTTCTAGAGGAGTTACTTAGAGAATTTCCTTATCTGTTCCAGTAGTTAGAAAACACAGATTCCAAGTGGGGCAATATATAATGGGTGGAAGACTCCATCTTAATGGTTTATATAATTAAACTGTTCTTGTTCACCATTGTTCAAATTTTGAAGGAACATTTATACACAGCTGAGCAATCATAACTGATACAAGGCTGGTACTGCCAAACCTAAAGAAGAAGAAATTTACCTGACAGGTGATTCAATGAGACTCACCCTCATCAGCTCTTATTTTTAGAGAATTAACAATAAAATTTCTACTTAAGAAGATTTCTCCATTATTTAGAAAATACCCCCCAGCCAAAACCAAGCACCCAGGATTCTACCCAAATTTCTTCCCTCTTTTCTGTACATTGTAGCTTATGTACTACTAGCCAAAAGCTTCCTCCTCCATAGCAGCTTTGGCGACCATCACGAGCCACAATTTATAAATATCTTGAACTAAAATCATTCATTTGACGTGGTTTAGAAACCATGGGGCCCCCCAAAGAGTTCTTTAAGCGAATGTAAGTATGCACTTCAAAAACAAAAAACCATCTAGTTAGTTTAATTTACTTTAGTAAATTAGATATTTTATCTGCTATAACTATAATGTAGCCTGCAATCCCCACGATAATGAATACTTCTTTTGTTTTTTTCAAATTAAGAGCTAAACATCATGTTATGTGCATTTAAACCTTTGGAAAACATAACTGTTGATGAAACACTTTACTGAAATAATCATTGTTGATTAGAATTTGTTCAACATTACCTCTTGGAAATATCTGCAGAGGCTCTATTAACTGTCCATTTACTTGCTGTTCCATTACTGTGGAATAATACTGCAAAGAGATTATAGAAAAAGATTACTCAGTAATGTATGAATACTGGAACAGACACTTACGGGTTGGTTAATTCATAGCACTTTTGTAAATTGCTGGTATGCACATATCAGCCTTGAGAGTACTTTTCCCCTACTGGTGCATCAAAATGCCTACAGTGAATTACTCAGGACTGGAAGGCTGGTATAGTGTTATCCTCCACACCAACCACTTAGCTTTAAGAATAAAAATACTAGGGGCTGGGGATTTAGCTCAGCGGCAAAGCGCCTGCCTGGCAAGCGCAAGGTTGTGAGTTCGGTTCCCGGTACCGGACAAAGACCAAAAAAAGAATAAAAATACTGATTAACACTACATATTAGTATTCAAGAAATATTTTAAAGGGCATACATTTAAAATGCCACAAAAAGTGTTTTAGTGGAAACTGCTCAAATTGCCTCTTGTCCTCTTGTTCTGGGTTTTACAAAGCCAAATGAGAAGCTTCACATTTGGTTCAGGCCTACAAGCCAGTTAACAAAACATCATGCACATCTGTGCATAGAACACAGACAGCGGAAATCCCAGTCACAGAGACTGAAAGCAGCAACTAAGGTAGGACTCATCCAAAAATGACACAAGTATTAGGATAAAAAGGCAGCCTAGTTTCAAGCCAACATACCTCTTATGCTTGAGCCTTATAAACCCCTTGAGAATGGATCAAATTTCGCTGTAAAGTTCCGGGCACAGGAAATAAAGTTCTCAGTAAAATAGCTTTCATTGTTCCTCATAAACACAAATCATGAAGTAGGTCATATCGTGGTCTGATGGCCATTTTCCTTAATATCCGAATTGAGGAGCATGGCCCACTTAGTCTGGAGATGTTCTGGACTCACTTCTTTCAATACTAAGCAAACAACAAAATGATGCTTCCAGTGGAAAAATATCACCCACAAAAGCTGCTGATTTTGTATTTTGAGAGACTGTCAAAGTGCAGGATTCCTAGCCAGGTACTGTGGCTCATGCCTGTAAACCCAGCACTCTGCAAGGCTGAGGCAGAAGGATCACAAGTTCAAGTCCAACCTGAGCAACATGGTGACTTAGTGAGATGCTGTCTCAAAATTTAATAAATAGTAAAAAGGTCTGGGGATGTAGCTCAGTGCAAAAGACCTGGGTTTGTTCAATCCCCAGTACCACTACTACCACCCGCCCCCACCGAAAAAGCAGGACTTCTTATTCATCTTTGCTGTTTCTATACTAAAACACATTATTATTTATCTACCAAATTATAAGCAAATTCTTCCTGGATTATCATGTTCTGACAGTCTAAAACAAGTGTCTTTTTACAAGATACATATGGTTTCCTACTGCTTTAATGTACATTAAAATTATTACAAGATCAAGACTGGTTTTCCTTAGAAATGAAAGGGAGCTATAAAATTCCACATTATCTTGGGAATCACAAGTTAGTAAGTCTAAGCTCTGTGCCCTAATAAAATAAGGCGAAGGTGAATTTTGGTAGCGATGGACAGATGTAAGTAAGCCTGTTCTTCAAAGGGTTTCAAACTGCACAGGAAAGCGATCCTCTCCTTCTGTGGACCTAACAACTCATATACATACGGGAAACTCACACGTTGGAGAACATAGCAAGGCCATGTTTTTCAGGAGACTCGGTACCTCAAAACCAGAGAAATATAGCACTCGCCATTACTCAAACAGCGATGACAACTAAATGAAGTATCAATCATGTAGGCCGCCAACCTTTTGGGACAGCAATAACTGTTAACAAGTAGCCTGGAAAAATTGTCCGAAAATGCCTTGTCCTCAGCACACAAGTATTGGAGGTTTCAGTGGAAAATTAAGATGCCAGTGGCTATTTGGAACATAGCTCAGGTATTCTTTTTAATGGGAAATTTGCCGGTTATTGATCCGCAGCGTGTACCCCCTTGCTTCTGGAAGGCTGCAAGCAACTTTCCAATCAGTGGCTGTCAAAAAAATTACCGCCTTTTTATACTGATACGAGACAACAGTGGTGGTGGTGTTCTCTCATAGTTAATACTTTCCTTTAATTAATTGCTACTTACAATAGGTTGGTAATTTCAGTTACTACTTTGTCATCATCCTAGATATCAAAACAGAATATCCTTATGCTCTGTCTAACAAATTAATTATCGAGTTGTCTGAGACTGGTGCTTGGGGTCAAGTTTGAAAAGAAATAACCTCAAAGGTAAAGGGTCAGTAGAGGTGTAATGTATTTTTTTCCTACTATAAAACCTTGCATGCATGAAATTGACCTGTTTTCAAGCTTTATTTATTTACCTTACAAATAAATAAATAAAAATAGCTTCCCTTTCATTTTAGGTCTGGGCCAGCCAAACTGGCAAACTATGTATACTTTTGTAGTCACTCTGAGAATGTGTAAGCAATCTATATGGATCTCTTTGTACTATGATCAATATAGTCACGGTCATATTTGATACATTACTTAACCAGCTTCTCCAAAGTAATTGGTTAGGTTTTGCTTTTCCTTTTTTGGAAGTCTTCTCAACCCAAGTATATTTTCACCTGCTGACATACTCAGTTTGATCTGTGTTTATATTAAGAGAGAACCTTGTGTTCTACAGTAAAGTAATTCACCAGCAAGGCCACATCATACTACATTTCCATCGTACTACATTTACGTAGTAACCAAACCCACAGTGTGGGATCACTGCACCTCTGACCTCTGAGAACCTCTGAGGACCCCTGACTGCTGAGGGCCAGGTGGCCACCAAGCTCTGGTCACTGTGTCTGGAACAAAGATAAAAATTTGGGGCATGTGTGATACCTCCTGGCACAAAGCAGTCCTGCAGGGCCAGCAGGCCTGTGCTGTCCGGTAAAATGAGGTAGGAACTTGGAGTGTCATCACCAGCTGTTCCCTAGCACATGATCCTAGAGGTGGTGCTACTGCACCTCACTTTGTCCAGCTGTAAATGAGGTTGAGGTCTGCCCAGACGACAGCTTGAGACTCTCATCGGAAAACAGATAAGACAATTTATAAACTGCAGGGTAAGCTGTTTCAGCTCTTGGGCCTCTCTTCAGTGTCTTTAATATATTCTTCCCCTAAAGGGCTTCTCTCCCATTTGATTCTAAGTACAGTGGTGCCTCAGTGGGCATCCGTAGTTGGTTCTGGGAGGCAAGTACAAAAAACAATGGATACCAAACGAATTGTTCTGGCTGAAAAGTGGAGCAAGTCACGAGGCAATGGATACTGCCAAGTGTCAGCATGCACGTGAGACCCCGTGCGAGCGAGGAGTCCTGGGACAGCACTTTCACATCAACACGGGTAGCACCATGTTTGGTAAGCTGTAAAATGGTGGAGTACCAAGGTATAACTACAGTAATAAAATAACCACTAATGACAAAGACAAGGCTTCTAGCCAAAAATAAACTATCAACAACAACAACAACAAAACCCCCTAAATTTTATATACTAAAATACTTCACATGGTTTGGACAGAAAAGTGACCAATTGCCATCAGCAGTAGTGGGGCCATAACTTGAAGTGACCCAAACAACTTCTTTCTCTTAAGCTTTATAATCCTGCCTCGGTTTTCATTTCCTATCATACAAAACTTTCCACATACTAGATGTTTGATAAATATTTATTGACTGAAATGTGGCTGAATCTTGATTCTGCTACTCATTAACTCGTAGCCTTCAGGAAGTCATTTAACCTTATTGAACACAGGTTCCCTCCAAATGAGAGTAAGATTATTTACCCTATTACATGGAGTCATCGTAAGGCTCAAAAACCAAACTGCAACAGCCAGAACTAGAGAAGGCGCTTGGTAAACTACCATTCAATATTAGTGGAGAAGTTTTTTTTAAAAAAATGTCTAATACTGAAACAATATCAAGTGCCAGGCATGGTGGTGCACGCCTGTAACCCCAGCACTTGGGAGGCTGAGGCAGGAGGATCATTGCAAGTTTGAGGTCAGCCTGGGCTACAAAGTGAGCTCAAGGCCAGCCGGAACTGCATGGTAAGACCCTGTCTCAAAAAAAAAAGAAACAATATCAAGCACAATATTTCTCAGTGTTTAAGCATTTAAAAACACAGAAATATTTATGTATATAAAGCACAAAACACTGTGCTCAAATTGAAAACTGGAGCAGCAGTTACACATTCTCTGCTAGCGTCTGTGGCATAATCCGTTACATGCAGTAATTGCAGCAATAATCAATAAGCTAACTGGGTAAAAGATTAATCAGTTTTACAACTGCTAATGGAATCTCCAGCACCAGACTTAGATTAGTTTCAGAGTCCCTCTGAGATATTCTTCAAAATCCTTAAACAATTTTAATAAGGATGTGACAAAGTTTAGCATAGTTATCCAAAAATCTAATTAATTTGAAACAGAAAGCCACATTCGACAAGGGGATAACAAGTACAATTTCTGGCTTTGTTTTGTTTGCAAGTTCATCCAAACAATGTTCCTATTCGTTATGAACCTAACTAGCAGCACAGTTCAATCAATAATTAAATTTTCCTCTTCCTGGAAATCTGCATTATAAAAAACTTGAGTTCCAAAACAACACAGTTTAATTCTACAAGGCACAAGTTCTCTAATAAGAAAGAGGGCTAAGGAGACAGCTCAGAGGTGTGTACTTGCGTAGTATGTTTGGGGTCCTGGGTTTAAGCCCCTGCACTGCAGAGAGGAGGGAGAGGGGGAGAGAAAAAGAGAGAGGGAGAGACAGAGAGAGAGAAACAAGTCTCACCCCCTGAGTGTCTGTGTGTTAGGCTCAGTACTACACATCTATCCATGTGCATTTAATTTTTCACACTCCTGCTCTGGGAGAATCATCACCTCTATTTAATGGAGGGGGCAAATGGTTTATCAGTGAGCAAAGAAAAATACTTCCTGTTCTAGCTTCCGCACTCAGACCATAAAGTAAGTGTACGTTTACCATTCAAGAGTTAACAGGTAAGTGACCTCGCAGATCTCATTCCTCAAGCGTTTAACCACACAGACAGGCTGCGGGGTAGA